GTCAGCCAAAGGGACTTCTCCTTGGCTAAGTGGCCAGGGCACATGATCAATCGGGACACTGTGACAGGACGCTCACACTGCCACATCATCACCCCTCCTTCCACGAGCACGTCCTCGTGCTCCTGCGCAGGGTGCCACAAACTTCGCATCCATGGACCTACTTGACAGTACTACATGGATCCTGCCAACAACGCCAAATGTGGCCGAGCGCAAGGCGTAGACACCCACAACCAAAAGCAGAACCCCAGGCGGGTCTGGTTATAATAAGGAACCGAGGCAGAGGTGGAGAAAAACAGGGCCTTTATTTATTTCTGTTCGGCCTTCTTAAAAACAGCTTGTACCTGAACATAGATAAACAAACCTAAGCTGAGATGAGAATGTTTCTTACCTAACAATCAGAAAACAAGGCCCACAGAGAGACTCTAGTAGCCACCCTCCACCTACATGTGACGACAGTGGCACAGGAGTTAAGTGCTCGCCCCGTTATCGGGAGGTTGCAGGTTCGAGCCCCGCTCAGTCTGTCGCTGTCGTTGTGTCCTTGGGCAAGACACTTAACCCACGTTGCCTGCTGGTGGTGGTCAGAGGGACCGGTGGCGCCGGTGCTCGGCAGCCTCGCCTCTGTCAGTGCGCCCCAGGGCAGCTGTGGCTGCATCGCAGCTCATCACCATCAGTGTGTGAATGTGTGTGTGAATGGGTGAATGGCTGGTTGTGTTGTAAAGCGCCTTGAGGGGTCCCAGGACTCTAGAAGGCGCTATATCAAATACAGGCCCTTTGCCATTTTTACCATTTGAAGTGACCACCTCCCAAACCAACTCCCTGGTCTGCACATCAGCCCATCAAGGAGTGGCCGAGATTGAGCTGTGACACGTTCAAGGGCCATTCCTACCGCTACAAATACTGAACCCCCCCACATACCTCACATATCACCAGGATGACCTCAGTCACCTGGTTACACTACAATGTCAAATTTGAAAAACAAATTAGCTTAAAACATTATTGTGGTGCTTTTAACAACGTTCTCACATAAATATATTGTGGAGGTTTAAAAAAGTGGTTCTCTCGCATTTGTCGAAAAACCTCCACCAATAACACGTTTCAGGCTGAAGTTCTCTGCTCCATAATATCAGAGAAGGAGAAACCGCCGGCTGCTACCACTTCAGCTTCAGGGCAGACTACCAGAGTCCCCAAATAAAAAATAAAAAAAACATCATTCGAAGTGACGGACAGCTAAGGGCGTTTGGATCTAGAAAATGTCAACTAGTGTTTAGCACTATCTCGTTTCCTCTTGAATGCGGGCTTCCGGTTCTGGTGTATGCGTATCCAGGGAAGATACCCGAGGGGAAGGGTGAGTGTTCCGTGACGTGTTTGCGTCCTAAACCTAACTGGTTCGGTAGATTTGCTCTACCAACCCAAAAATAACTAAATGTAAACTTCTCACTCAGCTTTTCCAGGATCAAACCAATTTACCTGGAGACTAAACCCCGCCTCTTAAAGAGACACACACACACACACACACCCTTATGGCTCCTCCTACCTGATTTTGAGCTTGTCCAAGTCATCAGCCAGGTTGTCTCGCTCCACCTCTATGCATGACCTTTGATTGGTCAGCATCTCCACCTGCCTCTTCAGCTCGCTCATCTCCTCCTCGTAAAGGTCAGCGATGCGTGTGGGCTCACGGCCTCGCATGCGCTCCACCTCCACTGACAGCGCGTGATTCTGCTGCTCCAGGAAGCGGACCTTCTCTATGAAGCTGGCAAAGCGGTCATTCAGATGCTGCAGCTCGGCCTTCTCGTTGGTGCGTGTGGTCAGGAACTCCTGGTTAAGGGCGTCTGCCAGGCTGAAGTCCAGCGTTTCGCCCATGCCAGCATAGGAGCGCCCAACTGAAGCCCGGGATGTCCCTAAAGGCCTGCCGTAGTGGCTGGAGGAGACGCGATAGGTGGGCGTGGAGCTGGTACGGGTCACTTCATAGACCCTGGAGGTGACGTGACCTCCACCAGCTCCACTGTGGCCCAGCAGGGAGCGGTTAAGGGTGGGGGAGGCGTAGGTGCCATGACCAAAGGTGCGTCTGTAGGAAGAGGCGCTTTGGGCTGAGGAGGCGTAGGAGGTCATGTTGGAGGGCTGCAGCTGAGAGTAGCACTGAAGGAGAAGTGATTGCTCCTGGGTATTTGTAGTTGACCCCCTCCTACCAGTGAACGTGCCTCGCTCCCTCTCCTCCTGTTACTGTCTCTAATCTCTCCTCTCTCTCCGTCCTTCGTTCATCCTAATCATGTTGCTCCCAGTTCGTCTTTAATCCAAAAAGTTTGATTAACTAAAACATTTTTATAGACGAACTGGAGAGTCAGTCAGTTGGTTAAGTTTATTTTTAAAAAAATTTAATGTTTTTGTGTTGTGAGCGATCAACACTTTCAGTTTTTCCTGGAAAAGTGTGTTTAAGCTGCAGCAGTCTCTATAATTAATTGTATTCTTTTAAAACAGGCTGACATGATGTCATGTGACACAATGACAGGTGTTAAAGGGAACGATGAGGTTGAAGGACATGGATGCATAAAACAAAATACTGGAATACTTTCATTTTGTTGTTTTTTAGTAAAAAACACAATAAATTGTATTTCTCAACACCTTAACAGTTACAGCTACATGATATTATTGCTATAATAAAACTTGGACCACGCGCGTGTGTGTGTGTGTGTGTGTGTGTGTGTGTGTGTGTGTGTGTGTGTGTGTGTGTGTGTGTGTGTGTGTGTGTGTGTGTGTGTGTGATTTTGCCATTCACAGGAATCTTGTTTAAAATGAAACCTTCCTGCCTCTCTGTGATCTCATGGCATATCAATGTGAGGACGCAAAGATGGCGGCCCCTGAAGCTCTGTGCCGTCCTCACATGGCGAGGCGTTCATGTTGTTGATGACAACACTCGAGGAGGGAAGGCTCAGACTAACCTGCCTTAAAAGGGAAAACCATCCTGAGAGTCAGAGATGCACAGAGGTGCAGTCTGTTCCACTTAAAGCAAATCAGGACTTTTAATTTAAAGTTAAAGCAGTTTTTCAGGCAGCTGCTTGTAAAAATGATGGATCTGATGGGTTTGTTAGGAAACAGATGGATAGATGTTAGTGGAAAAAGCTACTTTTCCTATTTCTTCACCTTTAGACTGTATGAACGCATCAAAAATCAAATTTGCCTCCAAGTTCACCTCTCCTCCTTGAACCGTCACCTTATCGTGGTGGAGGAGTTTGAGTGCCCAAATGATCCTAGAAGATATGTTGTCTTGGGCACTTTGTGCTCCTGGTAGGGTCTCCCATGACAAATTGGTCTTAGATGAAGGGTGAGAAAAAGAACGGTTCAGAGGATCGCTCATGGATTTACAATCAAAGAGTCGGAGCACCCGGCCCGGAGGGTTACCGGGGTCCCACCCTGAAGCCAGGCCTGGGGTTGGGGCCCGTGAACGAGCGCCTGGTGGCCGGGCTTTCGCCCATGGCGCCCGGCTGGGCCCATCCCGAACCGGATGCATGAGCTCATCCAACTGTGGACCCACCACCTACAGGAGCAACAAGAAGGGTCCGGTGCAGTGTGGATCGGGTGGCAGACCGAGGCGGGAGCCTTGGCGGTCCGATCCCCGGAGAACAAAACTGGTTTTTGGGACATGGAACGTCACCTCGCTGGCGGGGAAGGAGCAGGAGCTTGTGGCAGAGGTTGAGCGGTACCGGCTAGATATAGTCGGACTCACCTCGACACATAGCATGGGCTCTGGGACCCAAGTCCTTGAGAGCGGTTGGACACTCTCCTTTGCTGGAGTTGCTCCGGGTGAGAGGCGGAGGGCTGGGGTTGGCTTTTTGTTAGCCCCAAGACTCTCTGCCTGTGTGTTGGGGTTTACCCCGGGGGACGAGAGGGTAGCTTCCCTGTGTCTTCGGGTCGGGGAACGAGTCCTGACTGTTGTTTGCGCTTATGGGCCAAATATCAGTTCAGAGTACCCACCCTTTTTGGAGTCCTTGGGACAAGTGCTACATAGTGCTCTATCAGGGGACTCCATTGTCCTGCTGGGGGATTTCAATGCTCATGTGGGCAATGACAGCATGATCTGGAGGGGTGTGATTGGGATGAATGGCCACCCTGATCTGAAATCGAGTGGTGTTTCGTTATTGGACTTCTGTGCAAGCCGCAGTTTGGCCATAACGAACACCATGTTCGAACATAAGGATGCCCATTGGTACACTTGGCACCAGGGCAGCCTAGGTCGCAGGTCGATGATAGACTTTGTAGTCGTATCATCTGACCTGCGGCCGTATGTTTTGGACACCCGAGTGAAGAGAGGAGCGGAGCTGTCAACTGATCACCACCTGGTGGTGAGTTGGATCAGACGGCAGGGGAAGATGCCGCGTAGACCTGGCAGACCCAAATGCATAGTGAGGGTCTGCTGGGAACACCTGGCAGAAGAACCTGTCAAGACGGTCTTCAACTCCCACCTCCGGCAGAGTTTTGACCGCATCCCGAGAGCAGTAGGGGAGTGGGCCTTGTTCCACTCTGCGATTGTTGAGGCGGCTGTTGCTAGCTGTGGTCGCAAGGTGGCCGGTGCCAGTCGTGGTGGCAACCCCCGTACCCGCTGGTGGACACCAGAGGTTCGGGGAGCCGTCAGGCTGAAGAAGGAGGCCTACAGGGCGTGGCTGGTCTGTGGGTCTCCGGAGGCAGCAGACAGGTACCGGATAGCCAAGCGGGGTGCAGCAGTGGCAGTTGCCGAGGCAAAATCTCGGGCACGGGAGGAGTTTGGTGAGGCCATGGAGAAAGACTATCGATCGGCTCCAAAGAGGTTCTGGCAAACTGTCTGGCACCTCAGGAAAGGAAGGCAGCAACTCACTCACACTGTTTACAGTGGGGATGGGGAGCTGCTGACGTCAACTGGGGCTATAGTCGGGCGGTGGAAGGAATAATTTGAGAAGCTCCTCAGTCCCACCTACGCGCATTCTGAGGAGGAACCAGAGCCGGGAGACCTGGGGATGGAATGTTCAATCTCGGGGGCAGAAGTTGCTGAGGTAGTCAAACAACTACACAGCGGCGGAGCCCCGGGGGTGGATGAGATTCGTCCTGGCTATCTCAAGGCTATGGATGTTGTAGGGCTGTCATGGTTGACACGTCTCTACAACATTGCGTGGTCATAGGGGGCAGTTCCTGTGGAGTGGCAGACCGGGGTGGTGGTCCCCATCTTTAAGAAGGGTGACCTGAGGGTGTGTTCCAACTATAGGGGGATCACACTCCTCAGCCCCCTGGAAAGGTCTACTCCAAGGTACTGGAGAGGAGGGTCCGATTGATAGTTGAATCTCAGATTGAGGAGGAGCAATGTGGTTGTCGTCCTGGCCGTGGAACCGTGGACCAGCAAGGGTGATGGAGGGGGCATGGGAGTTTGCCCAACCAATCCACATGTGATTTGTGGATTTGGAGAAGGCTTATGACCGTGTCCCCAGGGGCACCCTGTGGGGCCGCTCCAGGAGTATGGGGTGGGTGGCCTTTTGTTAAGGGCCATTCAGTCCCTTTACCAGAGGAGCGTGAGTTTGGTCCGCATAGCTGGTAGTAAGCCGGACCTGTTCCCAGTGAGGGTTGGACTCCGCCAGGGCTGCCCTTTGTCACCGGTTCTGTTCATTACCTTTATGGACAGAATTTCTAGGCGCAGCCGTGGTGTGGAGTGTGTCGAGTTTGGTGGCAGGAGAATCTCGTCTCTGCTTTTTGCGGATGATGTGGTCCTCCTAGCTTCATCCAGCTCTGACCTTCAGCTCTTGCTGGGTAGGTTCGCGGCCGAATGTGAAGTGGCTGGGATGAGGATCAGCACCTCCAAATCTGAGACCATGGTTCTCGACCGGAAAAGGGTGGCTTGCCAACTCCGGGTCAGGAGAGAGGTCCTACCTCAAGTGGAGGAGTTTAAGTATCTCGGGGTCTTGTTCACGAGTGAGGGTAGGAGGGATCGGGAGATCGACAGGCGGATTGGTTCAGCGTCCGCAGTGATGCGGACGCTGAGCCGATCTGTCGTGGTGAAGAGGGAGCTGAGCCAGAAAGCCAGGCTCTCAATTTACCGGTCGATCTACGTCCCAATCCTCACCTATGGTCATGAGCTTTGGGTAATGACCAAAAGAACAAGATTGCGGATACAAGCGGCTGAAATGAGTTTCCTCCGTAGGGTGGCCGGGCTCAGCCTTTGGGATAGGGTGAGGAGCTCGGACATTCGGGAGGGACTCGGAGTAGAACCGCTGCTCCTCCTGATCGAAAGGAGCCAGTTGAGGTGGTTTGGGCATCTGGTCAGGATGCCTCCTGAACGCCTCCCTGGGAAGGTGTTCCGGGCATGTCCTGCCGGCAGGAGGCCCCCGGGTCGACCCAGGACACTTTGGAGAGGTTACAGCTCCAATCTGGTCCGGGAACGCCTTGGGATACTGCCGGAGGAACTGGTGGAGGTGACCGGGGAGAGGACGGTCTGGAGCTCCCTAGTTGGGTTGCTGCCCCCGCGACCCGGACCCGGATAAGCGGAGGAAGATGACGACGATGCAGTGATGCAAACAAAATCCCTTGTGTTCCCACTCTTTGCTCAAATTTTCCAATTTTTAAAAAATCTACACATGCTTTTAGATTTACAATTGATTAAATCTAAAGTCAGTTTTATGAACTGTAAAAACGTGTTTCGAAACCCGTTATGTAAATAAAGAACCATCACGATTACTTTTCAGTGTGATGATGCAGCTGCTCACATCATTTAACCATCATAAATTCAGAGCGCTGCTGGTGCTTTAAGAGAAATTCCCACATGATCTGGTGCTGAAGATGTTCAGAACTGCAGCCTGTTGCTCTCACATCTATTAATAGAGTCTGAATGTGTGAGTGTGTGTTCTCCTCCCTCTGGGCTTCCTCGAAAAGCAGCAGAGAAAATACAAAATGACAGCTGAGGTAAACATCTCTTCATTGTTTTCTCCTCCTCCTCCTCCTCTCATGGTGCTCAGGACTATGTAAGGCTAGTTCCTGTGGCAATACAATGATAAACAGTTGCCACTTTACATTATAAACAGATAAGAAACAGATAGCTTAGAAATGAAAATAGAAGCAAAATGGAAAAATAATTGAATTATCAACGTCTTAGTTATCATAGTTGATAAAGTTTTGTCACTATTTAACTGAAGATCTCATATTATCCAAATTATTCACTTTAGAACTTTAAGTAAAAGTGTCAACAGTATTTTTAGTGTTTATGAAACCCATAATTATTTTACATATTAGATTAAACAAATTTTAAGGTTATTATCCAATAGAAAACCTGTTAAAAGCTAAAATGTTTAGTTGCACCTCCCGACCGCAGGGTGTCGCTGGCGCTCCACGATCATAAACAATCTCTGCTCTTTTCCTGTCTCATTCCAGACTGACGATGGTAAGTGTCATAAAAATTATTATTTGTGTTTGACTCATAACTGGGTGTTGTTTCCTAGCTGGAATCTGGTTTTTGCTTTAGTTTCCGGTTGAAGAAAACAGGAACAGAGCAAAACCGTTCGGGTTAGCTGGATTTAAGCCCCGGTGCTTCCTTTTATCGGGCGAGACGGTCATTATTTTGGTGTTGAACTGCACCCTAAAAACGTTTTTGTTGTAATTATCTCTAACTGAAACCAGGTTAAAGGTTTGTGTTAGTTTGTCTGATTTACCTTAGCAGATAAAGGCTGGAACCTGTTGCCCTGGAGTTGCAACTAGCATCTTTTAGCTGTTAGCTGTTTCGAAATTCACTTTTAACCTTTTTCTTCAAGAGTTTGATCATGAAGAAAGAAGCAGTTCAAAAAGCAGCCAAAGAGTTTCTGCAGTTTGTCAACAAAGGAGTGTCTCCATATCACGGTAAAGTCATGTAACTATTGAATTTAACGTTGTAAACAAACCTTATGATGCAGGAAAGTCTAAATGTCTTCAGGCTTGTTTCTCGGTGTTTTGCTACAGGATGATGCTTTATTTTTGTATTTTCCCTACAAATAGATTTGTTGTCATTCTAACATGAAATCAACTTTTGTTATTCATGTCTTTGGAGATCAAACATTGTAATAAACGTTAAAAGCAGGAGCAACACAAAATTAAACTGAACCTGTGATTTTGTGCTACTTTTTTATTTCTAGAGTCAAAATTATTAACCCCTTGTCATTTAGTCAGTGTTCTTTAAAATTTTAAATATTTTTTTGCCTTTAAAACATTTTAAAACTCGAATTTTGCCACCTAAACTCTGAACTAAGTTCAGATGAAGTGATAACAGGTTATATTTGATAAGGCAGAGGGTTAAAACCTGCCAACTGTTAGTGGTCAGGTTACTTTTTCTCCTGTAATCATAGACCAAAGAGATGTGCAGCTGTCAGCATTATCTTGGTCCCAAGTCAAGACGCCGGTCAGATTACCAGACGACTTTGAGCTCCAGATAAGATAAAGAAGAACAGATATTTCATAACGTGTCGCATCTGCGAACGCCGCTCCTTCCTGAGAAAAGGTTAGATATAGGAGCTCTGAGTGAAACTAGATTGCAAGCTTGTAAATAATCATTCATGAATGAATTAACTGATCTTGATTATTTTTATTACTGTCACTAAATGTCCGAATCCTAACTATTTTTCTGCTCTGTAGTGGTTGAAGAATGCAGGCAACATCTGTTCGAGGCTGGATTTATTGAGCTGAAGGAGTCTGAGCAGTGGGACATCAAGCCAGCCGGCAAGGTGGGTTAGGGTTAAAGGTCACGGGGGAGAGTTTTCAGGTTTCATGGCTGATTTATAACAAATCATCTTCCTGTTTGTAGTACTTTGTGACCAGGAACTTCTCCAGTCTCATTGCTTTTGCAGTGGGCGGATGTTACCTGCCAGGGAATGGTTTCTCCATGATCGGAGCCCACACAGACAGCCCCTGCCTCAGAGTAAGGCCCCACCAATAAAAACATCATAAAAACAATAGCAGTGACAACAATAGTGACCAAAATCAGGAGTAAAAACAAAGTCAAGGTGTGAACAAGAACAAAGCCATCTTTTAGAATATTTAGCGGGGGAAAGCCTGGATGAAAAGGTGAGTTTTAAGATGTTTTTTAAAGACCTCTACAGATTTCAAGAGACGGAGATTTGAAGGCAGACTGTTCCAAAGTCTGGGGGCAATAGACTGAAAGGCCCTGTCCCCTTTGGGTTTTAGTCTGGTTCGAGGAACAGCCAGGAGGTTTTCAGATGTGGATCGGAGGTTCCGTGAAGTGGTGTGTGGGGATAAAAGCTCAGATAAATAGCTTGGAGCCTGGTTGTTAAGAGCTCTATAGGTCAGCACTAAAACTTTAAACTGTATTCTAAATTCTACATTCTAAAATGTGTGTGTGTGTGTGTGTGTGTGTGTGTGTGTGTGTGTGTGTGTGTGTGTGTGTGTGTGTGTGTGTGTGTGTGTGTGTGTGTGTGTGTGTGTGTGCGCGTGTGCGCACTTCCAGGTGAAGCCGAGGTCTAAGAGGACAAAGCAGGGCTGTCTGCAGGTGGGTGTGGAGTGTTACGGCGGCGGCATCTGGAACACCTGGTTCGATCGAGACCTGACCATCGCCGGCCGCGTAATAGTCAAGGTACCAGGATTTATGTCATCGTTAACTTGATGACATCACTTAAACCCGCTGGAGGGTTTTTAAGCTTGTTTGTTTTTTATTCCTGTTTTCTTTTTACCTTTTGTTGTTTTCTTCTGTGAAAGTCTTTGTGCATCAACAGTCTTCAGATCTACAAACGATTAACTGTGACAAATTTGGAAAAATGCTGTGAAAATCTCTCAGGTCTGTTGGAGATCTATGTCTACAGTTACAGACATTTCTTGCATTCAGACATTTTTCTACTTTAGAAAACCTTTTTTTGTATCTCATCAGAAACTAGTTGTATCAATGGACTTTGGATTTTATGGTTTTAAGGTTTTTTAAAAATATTTTAGCATTTCAGATCATTTAGGTCTTAATAGTTTTCTTCTGAACACTTGGAGATCAACCTGGAAGGAAAAGGTGTTTTTACTGTGTTTAAACTGCAGGGGGCGCCAGATCTCTAAAGACAGAATCTGAAACCCTGAACATTTCCATGTGGTCAGTTTTCGGTCAAACTCTGCTAAATTAGACCTCATCATCAGTTTGATCACAGCTGATGAGTGCTTTTGTGGTTTTGTTTATTATTTACCCGGAAAAATATGATTTATTTGTGTTATGTGGTTGTTTTGTTGATTATAACAGATTTATTCTGTTGCTATTCCCTTTGGTTGTTGTTACAATAGAAGGAAACACTTTGTCTTGGGGAATGTAACCACACAGGACTAAGTCTTCCTGTCAGAGTTGTTTGGGTCATTCACGAATCTTCTGGAGTCATGGCTGCTGATCTTGTCCCTGCAGAGTGGTGGGAAGCTCATCCACCGGCTGGTCCACATCCCCCGGCCTCTCCTCAGGGTTCCTCACCTCGCCATCCACCTGCAGCGGGACATCAACGACTCCTTCGGCCCAAACAAGGAGAACCACTTGTGAGTTCATTTTCTGGCCCTTTTTTTTCCAGTTTTAGGTCATGGTGGAACGTTGGTTTAGATGAAAATCCGACAAGTTATCAGAATCCTTTGGAGCTGTTTTCTCTTTAGGAAACAAGCTAAAACTCCACATGTCCTCTTGAGTGTGTTAGAGTTTCCTTTACCTGTTGATGACATCATAACCAGGTGGTAAACTCCCTCACCACATGTCTCATTTAGTCCGTTTTCTCCTTTGAGGTGGTTCGTTTATGTAGGTGTGAACACAGTAACCTCTCCAGGACGCAGAGCACAATAACAGTACCGAGACCCGCTGCAGGAGGCGGTCCTGGTAAATCCAGAGCGGTACAAACGTGATCTAACAGAACACCTTGATGAGGAAGAGATTTCTTTTCTGTGTTCCAGAGTTCCCATAATCGCCACGGCCGTTCAGGAGGAGCTAGAGACGGGTTCTTCTTCATCTGGAGATGCTTCCTGCGCCTCCACCACGGTAAAAACCTCAAATCCGTTTATATATTTAATCACTTAAAATGTCTAAATAATGAAAAAACATTTCAAAGTTTGTCACTAAATCTTTAACATATTTTACGTGATTCTGTTTAAAGGGACTATAAAGGAAGTTTGACAGCCAAAACATGTATCGAAATAATAAATAGAATGAGCCCTGGCATTTTTACTGTGATTGCCTGTTTTTCTGTAAAATCACAGAAGAAGAGAGATGCTCGGGTCGAGCAGGCTGCTTCATGCGCGTTCACGCTCAGACACAGCCCGTAGCATTTGCTATCCGTAGCTTTAGCAGCAGAGAGAGAGGCAGTGCCACTTTGTCGCTGTTCCTAACGCCTAGTGATGAACCTAGCTACATTTCTGAGGACCCTTAGCTACTTTCTGTGGAACATTCTTCTAGATATTTCCTGCAAATTAACAACAAAATAGCCATTTTTGCTTTGAACCGTTCTTTGATTTGACGTTGTTTCAGCTGTCATCAAGGATATAAATGTTACAGATACAAAGGATGTCACTGGTGCTTTCGCTCACCTAGTAAGACGTTGGACTCCCATGCAGAAGACCTGGGTTTGATTCTGGATGTGAACATAGTTTATTTAGAGTTTCTTTTTTACATTAATGGTATTTTTTTACAGTAAGATGCCCAAATTTTTATTATAGACTCGCCGAACGGCATTGAATTCACAGATAAAAAAGATGTGGGTTCAACTTTCATTTTGGAACAATTTTTCAAGCAAGGGAAGGGAATGATCTGAGCATGCAGGAGGACTGACCCATCATAAACCTTTGTCGGCTGTGCTGAAGAGAAAGGTACAGAACCAAATTATTCAATTAATTAGCTGCACGTTCTCCTGTCCTCTGTCCTCCGGGCCACACGCGCACACACACACACACACACACACACACGACTATCTCAAATGTTATTTTCGTTAAGGAGTGTGCACGTACAGCATGTGCGCCTCGTGCACGAGCCTACTATTGAAGCTGCTGTTACGCTTTTGGCCTGAGGGGGCAATCACGAGCATAAAAATTCAAAAGTCCGAAAAGTCCCTTTAAATAGTAAAATGGATTTTTAAATAATTTTTATTTTGTGGGAGCCTTTTTCAAATTGCTTCTGTTTTTTCTTTTTCAGCAAAACTGAAACTTTTTCAGTTTTAGAGAAGCTGAGAAACTGAAATGTGTCTTTTTATTTCTAATCCCTCTCAGATGGAGAAGCACCACCCAGCCCTGGTGAAGGCGTTATGTTCAGAGCTCAGCGTTGAGCCTGAAGTTCTGCTGGACTTTGAGTTGTGTTTGGCCGACACGCAGCCGGCGGTGAGTCTCTAAACCATCCAGTCATTTCCTGTCAGGTCAGAAAACCAGCCGCTTACTTCCTGTTACTCACCAACTGGATGAGAGACACACACGTAACACCTGCGGCTCCAAAAGGACTGGTGCTGAACAACTTGTTGAAAATGTTTAACTCATTCACTGCTAGGGTTGCCACGATACTAAAATTTAAAACTCGATTCGATACTGGGGAAAAAAACTCGATACTCTATTTCGATACTATTTAAAAACACCAATTTATTGAACAAGTTTATTCAAAAAATAACATTCCTCAATTTATATTGCAAAAATTAAATGTTAAGAATTAAGTGTATAAAGTGCTTAAACCTTTCAAGTATCAGCATTTTTTAAAACATGCGTACAAAAACTGGCGAAAGTTAACACTTTAAATCATGAATTGTCTCACTATATATACACTATTTGCAGAGTGATGTTTTGCTGCTTAAACTCTGTTTAAGGTGCATTTTTGTCATAAGATGTAATGCTGTATGTTATGTTCTGTACTTCTGAACAACTCTGTTGGTCAATAAAGGGAGAAAACGAATTTCTCCACAGTAGGACAAAGGTACATCTACCGGTAATCTAATAAAAACAGATTGGCGCACGGCGGTGACGTCATTAAAAGCGCCGGTTAGATTAGCCGCGGCTAGTCTGTTTACGCCTAGAAATCCCAGACCCGCTCCAAACGAACAGGGGAATCACGTTAATGATTCCTAACAAAACCTTTCGACATTGAGATGTTTTGGTGCAGATAATGTTTTATTTCGAGGCTGCACCATGGGTGCCCGTCCGCACCCATTATATGGATATACACTGATGGCGATTCGCAGACGGATCTAAATACCCCGGGGAATCCAAGTAGCACCAAAGTTGTCAGCGTGAGTAAACAAACGTACTGCATGCTAGAAATTAAGTCCGGGTTGCAATAAACGGGAGTTTTCCTTTAAGCACATAAGCGTTAATATACAACTACGGGTCGGACTTGGTATGCTAATTAAGTTGGGCTGTGAAGCGCCTCCCAAATTCGCTGTTTATGTTTTTGTTTATTTATTTGGCAGACAAAACTTGGATCGGAGACAACTCGCGTGGGAAATTGCAATGTAGCCATGCGGCGTCTTCTTCTTCTGTTTGTCTGGGAGGCGGAGGCTGCTTTACGGCATCTGGCTGTTGTGCGTGTCGGTGTACTTGAAGAAGGCTGTGCATAATAGTCCATAATATCGATATCACAGGGATGGAATACCTAATGTAGATACCACTTTTAGCATCGATTTATATCTAGGTATCGATTTTTTTGACAACACTATTCACTGCCATTGATGACTGAAGTCGTCGATTGCATTTTCTTTACTGGGCGGGCATCGGATCGAGCCCCCGCACCGTACATATCACGTCTAACGCTGATCTTCATCTGCGTATGTCACACGTCACATGATTGGGAAGCAGAAATTCATGAATTAGGAGGTCGCTTTGGGCTGCTGCTGTGAACAGGAGCGAACCGGAAAAGCTTCTTCTGCTCACAATTCGACAACGGATAACGCTAGAAACACGATGATTCTTCCTGATGTAAGAAGTGAGTCTAATTTTTTTTTTTTTTTTTTTTGGTGCTTTTGGCGTTTACGTGATCATAGAGCACAATGTTCTGCTACTCTTCAAAAAAACATTAAAAACACTCAAACGCTGGCAGTCAGGGGCTTTTCTGATCAGGAAACGGCTTGCAGTGAAGGAGTTCATTGTCAAATAAAAGTAGATCTCTGTACTCTTTAGGTGTTTTATTTTGAAGTTCTGTTCTCATCTCTGCAGGCATTGGGAGGAGTGTTCGAGGAGTTCATCTACTCTCCTCGTCTGGATAACCTACACAGCTGCTATTGTGCTCTAAAGGTCTGATTAACACACACACACACACACACACACACACACACACACACACACACACACACACACACCCTTTCTGAAGAATTACCTGCGTGCCAACATGACATTTGTTGCTCTCATCTCTCATCTTTTAGGGACTGATGGAGTCGTGCAGCGGAGACTCTCTGGCCAAAGATCCAAACATCCGCATGATCACTCTGTACGACAATGAGGAGGTGAGTCTTCATCCCTTCTCATTCCCTGCGAGGAAAACTTCACTCATAACTTCTTTCTTCAACTGGATGTATTTAAAAATTTAGAAATCACAAATAAATCCCTCATCTCAGAATACAGGAGCTTTAACAGAAGATGATTTGCTTTATTAAACTCATATTTCTGAACATTTGGACATTTTCAGGGAACTATTGAGGTTCAATTCAACTTACAACTAAATAATCGTGTACAGATAAAGAAAAGTGAGGGTTTTTTTACTTTAAGGTATGACGGATTATGTTGGTGGTTCTTATAGACTTCATAAAACGTTTGTTTATGGAGTTTCTTGTGGCTGCAGGTGGGATCTGAGAGTGCTCAGGGCGCTCAGTCCAACCTGACGGAGATGATCCTCAGTCGGCTCTCTGCCTCCTCCTCCAACCTCACCGCCTTCCAGCAGGCGGCGCCGCGGTCCTTCATGATCAGTGCTGACATGGCACATGCCGTGCATCCAAACTACCAGTAAGCACCCAAACTACCAGTAAGCACCCAAACTACCAGTAAGCACCCAAACTACCACTAAGCTCCCAAACTACCACTAAGCTCCCAAACTACCACTAAGCACCCAAACTACCAGTAAGCACCCAAACTACCTGTAAGCACCCAAACTACCAGTAAGGGCCCAAAATACAAGTAAGCACCCAAACTACCAGTAAGCACCCAGACTACCAGTAAGCACCCAGTACCCAGACCACTACCAGTAAGCACCCAGTGCCCAAACTACCAGTAAGCACCCAAACTACAAGTAAGCGCCCAAACTACAAGTAAGCGCCCAAACTACCAGTAAGCACCCAAACTACCAGTAAGCACCCAAACTACATGTAAGCACCCAAACTACATGTAAGGGCCCAAACTACAAGTAAGGGCCCAAAATACAAGTAAGCACCCAAACTACTAGTAAGCGCCTGTGCTACCAGTAAGCACCCAGACTACCAGTAAGCACCCAGACTACCAGTAAGCACCCAGTACCCAGACCACTACCAGTAAGCACCCAGTGCCCAAACTACCAGTAAGCACCCAAACTACCAGTAAGCGCCCAAACTACCAGTAAGCGCCCAAACTACCAGTAAGGGCCCAAACTACAAGTAAGGGCCCAAAATACAAGTAAGCACCCAAACTACTAGTAAGCGCCTGTACTACCAGTAAGCACCCAGACTACCAGTAAGCACCCAGTACCCAAACCACTACCAGTAAGCACCCAGTGCCCAAACTACCAGTAAGTACCCAAACTACCAGTAAGTTCCCAAACTACCAGTAAGCACCCAAATTACCATTAAGAGCCTAAACTACCAGTAAGTACCCAAACTACCAGTAAGTGCCCGCATTACCATTAAGAGCCTAAACTACCAATAAGCGCCCAAATTACCATTAAGAGCCTAAACTACCAGTAAGCACCCAGTGCCCAGACTACCAGTAAGTACCTAAACTACCAATAAGTACCTAAGCTACCAGTAAGTACCTAAACTACCAGTAAGTGCCCAAACTACAGCATACAGACTTTGTATGACAAATAGCATTAGGTCCTTTGGGATTTTTAGGCAAAATAATCACATTTGCATAAAAAATACTCCAGATTAGATCCTTAAGGATTTGTTGAGTGTTATGTGACTTAAACTCTATAAAACATCCAGACTTAAAGTAGAAAATGAACATTTACTGCTAAACTCGCACGGCTCTTTCTGGATATGGAGTTTACCTGCTTCTTGGATCGGGAGAGAATCTCACCTTGTTTTCAGATTAAATGTTTTGCTGTGGAACGTCAGAGCCTTTAAATAAGCACCTATATATTATTTACTTCATTTATGACATTTATTCTGAAAAACCAGGTGGATTTAAACCTGATCCCAGTCTGTGTAGCTGTTTCTGAGGGCCCACTCTCGTTATTCCTAGCTCGTTACAACACGTGCTCTTTAAACAAGATCGAGTTTATTTATTTTAGCATACAATCAGGAAGTGGTTCTGCTTCATTTGACTTGACTTTTGTTTCTGATTCTCAGAGAGAAACACGAAGAAAACCACCGACCGGCCTTCCACAAGGTCAGTGCATTTATCACCTATGTGAGCCAGACGTTTCCTGCTTATGTCACATGTCAGGATTTGGTGAGTTGAACTTTCCTCTCAGGGTCCGGTGATCAAGTTCAACAGCAGCCAGCGCTACGCCACCACAGCTGTCACAGCCTCCATCATCAGAGAAGTGGCCGGGCGGGTCGGCGTGCCGCTGCAGGTTCGCTCTCAGTAGAAAAGATGCTTACCTAAACCGGTCGCTCACATAAAAACACTGTACAACTTTAATATTAACGTTATTTATGTGGAGATAACAAAAAAATAAATAAAAGAAACAGAAACTAACTTAAATTCAGAAAAAACAATACCTGAAGACAGAGTTTTTACAGTGGGAATTTCAAAATAAGACTCCCTGTTGTCACCCTGCAGGACGTGATGGTCCGCAACGACAGCCCCTGTGGGACCACCATCGGACCGATCCTGGCAGCTCGCCTCGGCGTTCCCGTGGTGGACATCGGTGCTCCACAGCTCTCCATGCACTCCATCAGGGAGATGTGCTGCACCTCCAGCGTGCTGCAGAGCACCACCCTCTTCAAGGTAAACGCAGACCATGCCGTTAAACCGCCTCTGTCTCAGGATCTGTTTATCTGAAACTTTGCTGAATCAGAGGAAAAACTTCATGTTCTAACAGCTAGTTAGTGTGTGACTTAAACCATCTGATTTGTAAATTTACTGTTTAAAACAACAATTTATACCAAAAACAAAAGGATGTTGAATATTTAACTGTCAGTTTTATCTGTATTTATATTTTTCTGTATACATTCATGAACTGATCTCCATAAGTGTTAGTTTCAGGTCAAATTAGAACTTAAATAAGACATAAAAGATTTTATTTGCCACTTTTTAAATAATTTAAACCCAAATATTTTATTGGTAACTAAGAAATGTGAGATTCAGTTTAGGATGGTGTTAAAAGTCAGCTGTTTCAGCCGATGGACATTTTGTCCCAAATCAACGATTCTTTAAAGGGGCTATACGGAAGTTTGACAGTCAAAACATGTATAGAAATAATAAATGTCTTCTTCATACGTTCTCCTGCAATGCCCTGGTCCTGTAGAATGAGCCCTGGCATTTTTACTGTGATTGCCTGTTTTTCTGTAAAATCACAGAAAAAGAGAGATGCTCGGGTCGAGCAGGCTGCTTCATGCGCGTTCACGCTCAGGCATCGCCCGTAGCATTTGCTATCCGTAGCTTTAGCAGCAGAGAGAGAGGCAGTGCCACTTTGTCGCTGTTCCTAACGCCTAGTGACAAAGCTAGCTACATTTCTGAGGACCCTTAGCTACTTTCTGTAGAACTTTCTTCTAGATATTTCCTGCAAATTAGCAACAAAATAGCCATTTTCACTCCGAACCGTTCTTTGGTTTGACGTTGTTTCAGCTGTCATCAAGGATATAAATGTTACAGATACTTTAAATGTTACTAGAGTGTAGCTCACCTTGTAAAATGTCTGACTCCCATGCAGAAGACCTGGGTTTGATTCTGGATGTGAACATAGTTTATTTAGAGTTTCTTTTTTACATTAATGGTATATTTTTTTACAGTAAGATGCCCAAATTTTTATTTGAGACTCGCCGAACGGCATTGAATTCACAGATAAAAAAGATGTGGGTTCAACTTTCATCTTGGTACAATTTTTCAAGCAAGGGAAGGGAATGATCTGAGCATGCAGGAGGACTGACCCATCATAAACCTTTGTCGGCTGTGCTGAAGAGAAAGGTACAGAACCAAATTATTTAATTAATTAGCTGCACGTTCTCCTGTCCTCTGTCCTCCGGGCCACACACACACACTGGACTGTCTCAGCTGTTATTTTCGTTAAGGATTGTGCACGTACAGCATGCGCGCTTCGTGCACGAGCCTACTATTGAATCTGCCGTTACACTTTTGGCCTGAGGGGGCAATTGCGAGCATAAAAATTCAAAACTCCGTAAAGTCCCTTTAAGGCTTTAAGTCCTTCAACTTCACGTTTTGCAACTTTTATTCTGAAAACATTTACAGATGCTTTCAACTTTACACATCCACTTCCTGTCTTGCTTCCTCCTGCAGGGTTTCTTTGAGTTGTTCCCCACCGTGAGGAGCTCGCTAGAGCTCGAATGAAGAGCGACATCTGATGTTCGACGCAGAAACCCAACAAAGTCTGAGCTAAAAGTCACAAAACAATTTTAACTGTGATGTAAGAACACACAGAAAGATATTTGCTCAATAAAAGTGATTTAATTAAGATAATAAAGTGCTGAAATTCTTCTTTTGTTCCTGCGTTTCCTTCTGAAGAGTCTTGATTGTGTTCAAACTAACAACGCTGGGTCTGATCCTGCAGGAGCAGCTGCAGTAATTTAATTTCACCTCCTCCTCAGTTGTATTAAAACGCAGCGAGCTGCAGAGTCTGCTGCTCTGCCAAGTTCCTGACAGGCTTCTGGCACCGTCAGATCAACCAGAGCCAAAGTCGGGATGTAGAAAGTCTTTGCTTTGCTCATTCAGCACACCTTCCTTTGTCTGGGGGAAAATGTGGAGATACTGAGCATACATGAGCTTATTATCAATTAAATAATACAATGAAATACTTCAGTCATTCTAAGAAAAAAGAGCTTTTTTACTAGTTGGACTGCAGAGTCACCAAACTGAAGGTTTTAAATGTAATTACTAACAACCTGACTAAGTGCCGTCCTGATGATGAGCAGTGTCATCAGCAGCTCCGCAACCAAACTCTGACAACTAGGCTAGTTAGTCCTCAATACTTGCTTTGGTCAAATTGAAACGAGAGATTACTCTTGTGCTTAAAAAAACATTTTATTATTTATTTACGCGTGTGGGTGCATTTCAGGGTGCTGCTGAGACACTGCAGCCCCAACAGCAGGGACGTGTGGGGGGTTTGTAACCTTAACCCCGTGTGGAGCGTCTTATGATGGTGAGCCATGAAGCAGGACATCTCCTGAGACCCAGGATAAACAGATGCTGGATCTCTGACGCTGAAAGGACGAGAGAGAGAGAAGCAGTGTGGTTTACAAGCAGAGCTAACCAGGGGCAGATGGTCAGGTAGTTGGAAACAACATTAGAAACAAACTTGGCTTGTACTCTGAACTTCAGCCAGTCTGATGCTGATCCATCAGGTGGTGTTACTTTGGGGTCATAAATAACGGTATATATATTTCTACCTTTGTGATTCTCAATGTTGGGAGTAATGCAGTACAAAAGTAATTAATTACTGTAATGCATTGCTTTTTGCTGTAATATGGTAATGTAAGGCATTACAGGGAAAGATAATGGTATTTACTCGGTACAATTGTCAGTAACGCGGTAATTACAACGCATTTTTAAACCCAGAATCAAGATGCGGGTTTCCTAAAAAATTCAAATGGCGGGAAGCCTGAAAAAAGATCCAGTATCCACATATATGACGTCATTTATGGACTCAGCTTTGCGGGCATTCTATGAGCAGAGAGGACGCAGCGGTAATGGCTCAAATCCTCCAGCTGCGTCCTGCACGCGGCCGCTGTTATATTCACAAAATCGCTCCACCAAAACAAAGTCATTCATTTGCGATCGTTTATATCAGCCCATATTCTCTGGTACTTCGAGTACTTTTCAGCTAAGTTCATAATCTGTGCCCCGGTGATTTCAACTCGTTGCTGCTGGAGCGCAGCGCATATTAAGCTTTTTTTTTCTTTCTTTTTCTTTTTTTTTTTTTTTTTTTTTTTTTTTTTTGCGTTCGGTAGATCCCTTTGGCTGATTAGTTAGAAAGAAGTAAATCTAGGAAACTGTTTTTCTGAAAGATGGAGAAAACGTGCAGCAGGAAGGTTAGAGAGAGAAAGGGCCGGAAATTATTCAAATAAAATCAAGAAAACAAAACAAAGTGCTTGAAAAGAAAAAAAGTAGGTAGATTTATCCCCAATACACATTTTTACCAGTGAAAAGCAATAATATATAAGCATTTAATATTTATACATGTGATGGAATCAGATCACCCCAGAAGTCAGTCCCACATCCAGGGCCGTATCAAGGCATTTGAGGACCAAGGCAAATATAGGCTTGGAGCCCCCACCACCTCACTCCCTGCTCAGTTATTATAAGATGGCAGCGTGCTGAGAGTACAGATTGTTGTTGCTTTTATTTAATAAACAATCATTTTAAAGCACTGTTATTATATCTGACTGTTTTTAACAGCAATCCTAGCTCAGATCACTTTCCACATGTATGTCATGAGCTCACTGAGCGTCAGATTACCAGATTCATACTGAAGTTGTATTGGTGAAAGTAACAAAGTAATGCAAAAGTAGTGTAATGCCTTACATTTTAAAAATCAGTAATATTGTAATGTAATGAATTACTTTTAAATGAGGTTAACAAGTAATAAATAATGGATTACAGTTTTGAAGTAACTTGCCCAACACTGGTGATTCTCAACTTTGCTGAAGTCCTGCCAAACAATAACAACCGTTTCCACAATCAGGTGAAATACTGAAGGATCTCTTGTGTTCAGGTCTTTGATGGATCATTACCAAAAGTGGTGTAATGGAGAAATATTTATTGCCCTGAAACTTCTTTTGTTCTCCACACTCATTTCAAATAAAATATGAGGTCATAATCTGGTGCAAGAACAGGATATGAGTTCAAAGATGTGTGTTGATGAGGTGCCTGCTGTCCGTTTGAGGATAAGGAGCAAGTCATCCGTTGTCCATATATACAGGAACACCAATGAGACTGACACCTTTGGATGTTTGTTACTCATGTTTTTATTCTAGATTTTCATTGCATGTCAGTGTGAATTTGCATGTAAAGTGTCTAGATTAAAATCACATTTTGAATTTCATCATTTGGATTTATTGTCATACATTTAGACGTGATTCCAAACATTTAGACTTAATTTTTCTTAAATATTTGAATGTTTTAATTTGGGGGGGGGGGGGGGGGGTGATTAAACATTTATAATTTCCTAATTAAATGTGGTGTAAAGGTGACTTAATAACTAGTGATGTAAGAAAATATCGAAATGGCAATATATCGATAATCAAAAACTGCATATCTAATTTTTGGAAGAATTTGCATGCAAGCATTTGTGTATTTTTTCTTTTATTTTGGTGCATTTTGATTGCCAAACACTACTTGGCAGCAGTGTGCAATGGGTTTGTTTCCAGCTTTGAAATGTAAATCCCTCTATTATGGTTCTGATACCTCATGTTAAACATGTTAAGTGTCAGTTTGGACTGTTTATTGCATTTTCCTACATAAATTCCGTCTAAAAAAATTGCTAATATCGCCTGACTGAGTGTATCACAATATATCGTCTCCCCTCTATCGTGATGCATATTCTATCGCTAAAATTTCGCCAATACACATCGCTATTAACATTAAAAATAGTTTTTAACACTTTTTTAGCCCATTTTTTACTAACTGGCTTCAGTGGTTCTTGAATCATAAACTTGAGCAGCTTCACATTGGACAGCACTGTGTTTACCAGAAGCTGCCCTTATATGGAGCTGAGTTGGTGCTACAATGTTTGGATAACTGAAGGGAAAAAAAACACAGTTTAAAACTAATAAATAAATAAATTTATAGTTGAAAAGAAATGTCAAATTTTGAAGAAAAAAAAACTTATTCTAAGTAGTTTTCTTTCAACTTGAAAAGTTTTAATTTAGTGCTTTTTTTTAACTTTATTTTAGATTGTTTCGGTGTGTGGCAGGGTGGAGAGGTGAGGGCCCAGGCTGGATTCGATCCCCAGACTCCAGGGTGGAGGTCCAGGAAGCTCAGTCTGTCACAAGTGCTTTTGTTTTGTACTATTTTTTACACTTTCAACATGTTTTTTTAGATTTGAGTTTTGTGTTCAGATTCCTTTTTCAGGTAGGAACAATAGTGGGAGGAGGGGGTCTCCACCTGCTTTACGGCAGTAGCTGTACTGTGCTGGTAGCTAATATAACAGCTAGCAGTTAGCTTTTGTTACTGTTAAAAAGCTCAAGAAGACATTTGCTTTTTGTTGGCATTATGGTGGAGCCTGAAAGCAAACGTGAGAGTGTCTTTGGAGGTGAAGCAAAGAACTAAAACCAGAGTGAACATCGGTGCAGCCTACAGCTATTTGAGGGAGGGAGCTAAAGGGGGCTACAAAATCACGGACTGACGAGGACTTGTCTTTATTGCAACTGGAATTGTAAGTAATTATTTTTTTATCCAAATGTGTGGTTCTTTTGACTTTGTGGCTTATTTGGTATTCATTGTTGGCTCTCATAGTGTTAGCTCAATGCTAGCACTAGCTACAGCAGGCTTCTGCAGGGTTGCATGTGACAGTTGTAATTCCGCCATCAACCAGTATGGGGAAGAAGCAAGAAACATATTGTTACTTTAAAGGGGAACTGTTTTGGCTTGCTTTTAGCAGCCCCTAGTGTATGTTTGTAGAACTGAAAGCAAAATCTATCTGCTCGCTGTGCGTTCTTCTTTTAAACAACAGCTGAAATGTCTCCCAGCCTTCGTTAGTGTCTACAGGAGGGATTCATCACTAAATTAAATAAATCAGCTGTGTTCATGATCTAAAACATGCAGGAAACGTGCTGGAACCAGCGAGGTCACCTCCACTGTCCCAACAGAAGGCCAGTCAGAAGTTGCAAGTGGAATATTCTGGACACAGAGGGCGATAGGGGCTGGGAGGCCTTTCATTAAACTTGTGAAGGGTCATTTTAGCCCATACTGGCTCAAGAAAATGATTTAAAATGATGAAAAATTAGAAAAGTATCCCTTTAACCTGTTTTAGTACTTCAGGTGGTAAATGTGACCTATTGTAACAGTTTTTTTTTCTTTTATTTATTTATTTATTTTTGCTTTACCATGCGCATATTACCTGTGATTCCCTCACGTGGCTCCAGTTAAGTTTTGGTAGTGGCTTTTAATTTAATTTAATTTTTTTACGGCCCTCCGCCTCCCATGCCCATCCCCCCCACCCCCATTCTCTCCTCCCCTTTTCTCTCCTTTTCCTCCTCCTCCCCTTTTCTGTCCTCCCCTTTTCTCTCCTCCTCCTCCACTAACAGCAGCAGAAGCTCCCAAGACATGGAGAGCTGGTAAAAGCGCAGCAGTAGCATCTCTCCTGTTCCTCCTCTTCGGTGGATCTTGGATCTACCATGAGGTCTCCGCGGTTCTGGGCGGCTCTGTGCCTCCTCCTCACCGCCTCCTGCAGGCTGTGCACGGCCGCCCGACACGGTAAGGTCCGTGTTTCTGGTCCAGCTTTGACTGATGCGCTTCGTGGTTGACGCGGTGCGCTTGGTGCGTAAATCACGACTTCCCGATGACAAGTCCCTGAAACATTTTAGAGCGAGTTTGTGGGTTTGCTTAACAGCTTGAGTTGGTTATTATGGGATATTCTGCTATTTATTTCGTTTTTGCAGCTTAGTTGTCTTTCAGTGTATTTATAACAGGAAGTTTCACGCTCTCAACCTGACACTAAGTTGTTTGTTTGACTCCTGTAGAGTCTGATCCGTTTAGCTTTAGGCAGAGAGGAACACTGAACTCTCCTTGATCTCTTGCTCAGTTTTTCTCCTCATCTGTTTGCATCGGTGCCAAATTGCGTCACTGGCGCAAACGGGCTCAAGTGTCTGAGTCAGTGAATCTTTTCATGTTTGTTGAGCAACTGGGGGGGGTGGGGGTGGGGGGGGGTGGACGCTTTGATTCCCAAAGCAGTTTCTGCAGGTCTGTGATATAAATCCAGATTATTAACAGGCATTTATAATAAATAATTGCACATAGCAGTCAGATTATCACTAAAGTATTCTTATATGAGGAAGATGGGATTGTTGCATGCAGTTTCATGGACATGTCGATTATGATTCTTTAGTTCTTTGTTATTTTACTAGAAATATACAGTCAGTATATGTGTTTGCAACCTGTTCTATAACAGACACAACCGAGATTGCGACATTTAAGAAATGGCAGTTGGAAATGTTTCTAATGAACAGACAAAACAGTATTCCTTATCAAAACAAATCAGAAAGTCTTTGAAAACAGCTGTGTTACCAATTGCAATCTCTTTCAGAATGAGGGAGCTGCTCAGATATACGTCAGAAAGTTATGAGTCATAACCGATCTCTGTCTGCTCGCGGCAATCATTGACTTCCTGTCTCAGAGACTAGACATGTTTCAGCACCATGGACAGAGACTGGACATGTTAAAACAGATGACCAATGAAAGTCTTTCAATAAACTGAACTTGTTTCAGTATGACAGACAGATCTTGGATGTGTTCCAGCATCGAGGACAGAGACATATCATGTTTCAGTCATACAAACAAAAGCTGGTAATGTTTCAGTGAACTTGAACCAGGCTGACCATGTTTCAGCCCCACAAACAATGTGTTCCAACACCATGGAGACCAGCCGGGTTTCAGAAAAACAAATAGGCTGGACATGTTTCAGCACCATGGAAAATGACTGATTGTGTTTCAGAACCATGGAAGGAGACTGGACATGTTTCAGCACCATGGACAAAATATCCCAGTCAGCAAATCAAAATCTCTCGAAACATCAACGTAAAATACAAAAAAGAAAAAAAGATAGAGAATACATTTGTTATCCTGTGTGATGCTTTCAGTATTGAGGGTAGAAAAAGAAGACTGGATATCAGACCTGAACTTTTGCTTATTGATTTTTTTTATCCTGAGAAAACATTTGTTACCAAGCTGTGGACAGTTTAATATTATTCATCCAACAGTGCGTGCCTGTTTGGATCACTGGGAAATAAATCTGGACTGAAACATCTCCATATGGTGTCAGATGTGAGACAGACTGAGGAGTGTTAAAGATTCATTACAGAGTCATCTAATACTAAATAGATGATTAGCCAACACCACAGATTTGTTATAAAGACAATTAGAGCATCCTGAAATCCCAAAGCTTCAGAAACTCCAGTTCTGGTTTCAAAAATGTAAAATTAACATCAAAAAAGGAGAAAATAATCTTTAAACAGACTTCTTTTCAGTTACCCTGACAAAAATATCAAATAATTACTATTTTCAGCTGCAGTGAAGCGTTGATTTTTAAGCAGCTTTCAGTTTTCCTGCTGGCTTAAAATAGAGTGTCAGTGTGTAAAGGTAAGAGGTTACGGGTTCGCCTGAGCTGTGGAGCTGCGTTCACCTGCTGCCTTCAGCAGACACTCTGCCCCTTCCATTCTGCTTCATGCAGGCCGAATCAGTCCACCCTAAATGGCCCTGATGGCCCGCGGATACGTGACAGAGCCAGAACCTGGTAGGAGGATGACAGTAAAACAGAAGCATGATGATGATGATGATGATGATGATGATAGCTATGATGATGATGACGACGACGATGATGATGATGATGATTATTGTGATGATGATGATGGTGATAGCTATGATGATGATGGTGATGGTGATGATGATGATTATTGTGATGATGATGATTATGATGATGATGGTGATGGTGATGATGATTATGATGATGATGATGATGATGATGATGATGATGATGGTGATGATGATGGTGATGATGATGATGATGATGATTATGATGATGATGATGGTGATGGTGATGATCATGATGAGGATGATGATAATACTGATAATGGTGATGGTCATGATGTGATGGTGATGGTAGTAGTGATGATAATGACCGTGATGTTGTTGATGCTGGTAAATGGTAAATGGTCTGTATTTGTATAGCATCTTCTTAGGGTTCTATAACCCCCCCCCCCCCCCCCCCCCCCCCCCCCCCCCCCCCCCCCCCCCCCCCCCCCCCCCCCCCCCCCCCCCCCCCAAGGCACGTGTAACGTCCAGCAATGGTCAGTTTTAGGTGCAGTTTGACCTTTCAACATCTATTCAACAGCTGGTCAAAAAGGTGTCAGAGTCCAAGCCCCCAGGCCGGGCTCTCCCAGCAGACCGGCTTCCGTCTTGGACCACATTACCCAGCATGCCCCTCGCGGGGATTCCCTCCACGTTGCACCTGCGTCAATCCGTGTCTATATATGGAAGACGCCACACCGGCTCTTCACTCAGTCATCGTTCCACCGTGATCCATGATCAGAGTATTCTGAAGCTACTACAGCTGAACCTCCACCTTTCTTACTCAGACCTCATCCAACCGTCAGCCTTTCCAGCACCGCTTTCAGCCAGCAGTCTGTAATAAAAGCTCTTACTCCGGAACCCAGTCTTCGAGTCTGACAACAGGAGACACAGGACTGCATGTGTTCCCTTTAAATGAGCCTGCCTTCATACCAGCTGGAGCTCAGAGACTCTGCTGGTATGACAACAATAACTTTCTTTCCCCAAGGCTTCCACATAAGGAACACTCCAGCTTGGATCAGTTGCTAAACCGAGAATGATTTCCTAAATCGATATGAACTAACGTTAGTTTATTGCTATTTATAATTATTATAATGGAATGCTTCATTAATCTGTGCCCAATGATTGAAGTGTGAAATGAAGTTATGTCTACAATGAATGCAATGTGGTTCCGCATGTTTATATGGCGAGGTTATAACATCTGCACTGCTACAACCTGTCTAGGAGGGCCAGGTTGTAACATAAAAATGGTTCCATCTTCCACCATCTCCAAACCACCACACCAGAATTCCGAGTACAATAACTTATTCACAAGATCAAGGCGATGAACTAAGGACGAGGGAGGATTAATAACTCAGGGTGAACCAATGCCTAAAAGGATAAACAAAACACCTCTAACTTCAGAATGACAACTGACCTGCAAACTTAAAGGAAATAATTGACAACCAAACTTACCTCCCTGACTATCCGAAACAGGAGAACACAGGAATGCAAAGAAAAAAGGCGGTTCACCCCTACAGAATCCTCGAATGGCAGGTAATAGTCACAAAAGCACAAGGGCATCACACAAACACAGAGCATCAAGTGGTGGCTGGTTGGAATGAGGGGAGGATGAAGAACCCAGCTGCATCTCACAGCTTTGCTTCAGCTGATCTTCCAATCCAAACGTCCCCTGGCCATCATCCATAGGAGGGCACCTGCACACTCAAAATAACACTAAAAAAAAGAATAGTATAAAAATAAAAGAAATAATGTTCCTTATGACCGTGGTCATAACAGCACTCACACAATAACAAGTACGGTTAAGTTAAACTCTGACACATAAATAGTCTTTTACCCAGTCAGAACATCGGGATCAAGGAAGGGTGTTTTCTTGGTAACATCTCTCAAACCTGTCAGCCTATGATTGGCTGTGCAAATCATAACATCAAAACCTTAAAACTGGATCACCCTGGGTGAGTCGGCAGTTCTAGAGAAAGTTTCAGACCGGCCATCTGTAGCAAAACCTCTTTAACCATCAAAGATTTTGACACGTCGTCAAAACCTTTTTGCACCTGCGAAGCTGATAAGCAACAGTTCCTGCAGAACAACGCTGATGTTGTTCAGGTTCCTCAAGAGTCCACCAGACGCGCGGTTCCATCCTCTGTTGTGACCTGGAGACAACTCTTAAGACCGGTTTCGTGAGGCCGCAGTTTCTCCTACGGACCTCGGCGCCTAGAAGCCAAAGGACTTCGACATTCCGGATCTATCACGAGGGTCTCTGAGACCGGGTGAAGTAGACATGACAGATAACGTCTGATGTGTTTTGATAACAATCAACTTCATAGCTTAACGCAAATCAAATTCTTTGACATCCAGAACTCAGCGTTCCTAGATAAGGAAGTTCTGACTAAAGCCTGATTTATGCTTCTCCGTCTGCGTCAGTGCGGAGACACGCAACGCCATTATCCGTCCTTGCGTAGGGCACGCAAGTACGTACGGAGTCGAGCCCACTTTTTTAAACGTCCGTCGAACGAGACGGATGACGCAAGCTTGTGATTGGTCGGGACGCCGCTGTTGTTTACAGCGCCGCCATTGCAAAGAGAGCCGAGGATAACTAGCGGCAGACACGGAGCAGCTTGAAGAATACCTCGCGAAAAAACTCTAAAAATATGAACGTTTCATCCTCCCGTGACTGGAGGAGTGAAAAGATGCGCAGCAAGCATTTTATTTGTGGATGGAAATGACAGGAAACGTGGGTTTAGAGGTGGGGAGCGCATGAAGAGGTGGGAGAATGAGAGACAAATATGTCCGTGTTAAAAGTCTCTTATAAACACAAAAAACACAATATAAACACACGATCTTGGACCGATACGTGACAGGATACCACAGAACAGCGCTACGCCCTCTGTTGTCCTGCCGGGCAATTGCTT